GTGCTCTGGTCCATGGGGTCATGAAGAGTCGGACATGGCTAAACGACTAAACAACAACTGGGCCAGATTTAGATCCTCAGGTTAAAGGTGCCACCCTCACGCCACTACCTAACAAGAGTCTTTTCCCCAAATAGCTGTCTTTCTTTGAGACTAACCTCTTGAGAGATGCCTAATAGTGGCGGGAAAGGATGAGCCAAAGATGGGCAAGTCCATTGCCTTCTTTCTCTCCACCACTCTACTCTCTCTCTCTCCTTTCTAACCTTTCTGACCACTCTTTATATGTTCCTTCCCATCCAGCAGGATAATAGGGAAGGGGTGGATTGTTCTTGTCAAAGATCTGGCTGAACCGATTGCTCACAAGCAACTTTTGAAACTAGGCTCAGTGAGTTAGGTATTGCAGAACAAATTCTTGTCAAAGATCTGGCTGAACCGATTGCTCACAAGCAACTTTTGAAACTAGGCTCAGTGAGTTAGGTATTTGGCTGCAGAACTAATGCTTGGGGGTTCAGATCCCAACTGTGCCTCCCAGAAAAGCTGGTGTGTGTGGTTTAGGACAAGAAGAAGAACCTCCAGAAGAAGGAAGTATAAAACTACCGTACATCTGAGTACACACTATCCAGAAAACTCTGAAAAGTTTTTTTTCCAGCTCTGATGACATTATTTCTAAAATCTGCAACTGCTTATAACACTGTGTGAAATGTCCTGATATTGTTCCCAAAGCCCTGATGATGATGGCGGGCCAGTGAATTATGTTTCATCCACAAGCAAGATACGAGTATTTCAGTTGCCAGGTCCTGTATTTTGTTAGTTTTTCCAATTTTTAAAATCTTCAACTCTGGCATCTCCTGGAATTGGAATGTTCAATGATCCAGACATTTCTTCATTCTATTATATCATCCTTGTTGCCTTGCCTTGAGCCTCGTGGTGCAGTGGTTAAACCGCTGTACTGCAGTCAAAACTGTGCTCATGACCTGGGGTTCAATCCCAGGTAGCCGGCTCAAGGTTGACTCGGCCTTCTATCCTTCCGAGGTCGGTAAAATGAGTCCCCAGCTTGCTGGGGGGGGGGCAATGTGTAGCATTCGTAATTAACTTGTAAACCGCCCAGAGAGAGCTTGAAGCACTATTGGGCAGTATATATAAGCAGCACGCTTTTGATGTTTTTTTAAAAATCCAGTGAGATGAAAACAAAACTAAATGTGAATGCAGATAAAAGCCAAACCAACATATGTCCCCCTCCCTACTTATGCATCACAAAAAAAGAGGAATTGATATGTATTAGCTTATATTTCTGTGAACAAACTGAGAAAGAATTTCTGAAATTTAAATGGAAAGGAAACTCGCCTTACTGCAATAGGCATGCCTTGAGACCAGGTGATCTATGTGCCTCCTCCACCTGCTGTCCAAGGGTCAACTATCGGTGGGCAACTTTGAGCCCCTTCCACAACTCCCTTCTTGCAGTTCAAACCAGATTTGAACTAGGTTACCCAAATTAGAAGGTTGCTCCCCATTACATAGGACACTTGACCATCCCAGATCAAGTGATGAGTTCTAGCATGACTGGAGACAAGAGCAGAGCTTTACAAAAATCACTTTTGGGGCTTGCTTATTCATTCATTCATTCATTCAATCAATCAATTAATCAGTATCCCACTCCCATTAGTGTCACAGCACTACTCTGGGTGAGTATAGCACCTGGATTCCCCCAGCCGACATGGCCGTATTTCAGCTTTACATCTCAGATCAATTAATGAATTCATTAATCCTGCAGAAACCTTTAGGCACAGCAATAGTGCTGTACAGTATAAACATCATAGATGTTGCCGGTGGTAGCCTACTTGAAGTGGTTATGAGTTTATCTGCAGACAGAAGGATTCTGAAGGATATCTGATCTAGTTTGTATTTATTCTGATGCCACTAATTAAATCAATAACAAAACACGGGTTGCTCTTGTTATTTCTAAAGATCTCCTTGGACTTAGTACACATATGAGAGCTCAGACAGAATAAATCAATAACAAAACACGGGTTGCTCTTATTATTTCTAAAGATCTCCTCCTTGGACTTAATACACATATGAGAACTCAGACAGAGGAAAGCTTCAAAATGGCTTGTTGTGTTTGCATCCTTTATCTCTTGAGATGAAACAGACAGAAAAGGAATATGGTTTGCTTCTCTTGGTATTCCCAGGACGGATCACAACATTTTCTGCATAAGAAAGCATTCCATATAGGTATTATGAGTTGCTAGTCAAACAAAACAAGTCATGGTAGTTTTCTTATCTCTTTCAGATATCTGTGTTGTGGCGGCAGTAAGTCCTGGAACCATGGTTTAAATGAGTCCGCTGGTGAATACTCATGCTAAAATATGATCAAATCCCATTGCATTTCTCCAGCATTTATCTATTTTAATTAATTCCAGAAACCTTGATCTTCTTAACTGACTAAACACAAGAATGTTAGGTTTAATATCTAACGACTGCTGAGTGCAGGTCTCAGTTTATTTCTATAGCCGAGGGTTCACTACAGTTATGTTTCTCTAGATTCTGCTCTCTGGCTTGTGTGCATAGATGTATACACAGGTAGCATAAGAGTGCTTGACAGTGAATAGGAGGGTCATATGGTTTCTCCCATTTTCCTCTAGATGTTCCTCTTAATAGGGAAGGTAAACTCAGGAATGCATAGAACAGGTCCAAGGATCAGTCTGCAGCATATAGGTGGGGTTGGAAAAATTTCCCAAAACCTTATAAGGTGGTGTGGGTTTCTAGTCTGTGGCCCCTTTCAAACATGTCAGGACACTCACACTCAGGGGCCATATTGCCCCTATAGAGCCAGTTCTTTTCAAACCGGTTGCCTCATTTTAACCAAACTAAGTAAAGATTAACCACAGTTTAGGATTTCAGAAGACAAGTTTAACAGCAGTTAATGGAAACATTACACACGTAATGAGGGTGAAAGAGGAGAGTGCAAAAAACGGCCTGAAACTCAACATCAAAAAAACTAAGATCATAGCCACTGGTCCCATCACCTCCTGGGAAATTGAAGAGGAAGATATGGAGGCAGTGACAGATTTTACTTTCTTGGGCTCCATGATCACTGCAGATGGAGACAGCAGCCACGAAATTAAAAGACGCCTGCTTCTTGGGAGGAAAGCAAAGACAAACTTCAACAGCATCTTAAAAAGCAGAGACATCACCTTGCCAACAAAGGTCCGAATAGTCAAAGCTATGGTTTTTCCTGTAGTGATGTATGGAAGCGAGAGCTGGACCATCAAGAAAGCTGACTGCCAAAGAATTGATGACATTGAATTGTGGTGCTGGAGGAGGCTCTTGAGAATCCCCTGGACTGCAAGGAGAACAAACCTATCAAGTCTAAAGGAAATCAACCCTGAGTGCTCACTGGAGGGACAGATCCTGAAGCTGAGGCTCCAGTACTTTGGCCATCTCATGAGAAGAGAAGACTCCTTGGAAAAGACCTTGATGTTGGGAAAGTGTGACAACAAGAGGAGAAGGGGACAACCGAGGATGAGATGGCTGGACAGTGTCTGCGAAACAACCACCATGAAATTGACACAACTACGGGAAGCAGTGGAAGATAGGAGGGCCTAGCGTGCTCTGGTCCATGGGGTCACGAAGAGTCGGACATGACTAAACGACTAAACAAACGAACGAATGGAAACAAGAAGCTTCAAATTTTCTCTCTTTGGCCATACTGTGCAAACTAGGGGTTGTGAGGAGGCTAGGTTGTGACCTTTTGAGACAGTCACAACATAACTCCACTGCTCTCTGGATTGCTTCATTTTTCTCAGCTTCTTTAATTTTGCAGCACTGTCCCTACTCCAGTTTTTCAGGTTTGCTCAGGACAGCTGTAGGAAGATGTCCACTAATAATCGCAAGCCTCTTGTCTGTGCTGTTTCAGGAGGCTGCCCGGAAAGAGAGGGACTGAGAAGATGGGAGCCTATGGATGCAAGGAAGAAAACCCTTTTCAAGATAAGTGGTTTGGTCATGAATTTGCCAAGGTAAACCTTCCACAAGGTTGATGTGACAAACTTTTTCACAACCCTTCGGAACGGATGTGACCCCCTCAGACAGACCTTTAATTCTTGGCAACAGAGATCTCTACTGAGTCTTCCGCGTTGACTTTTTTCCCTTACCTTTTGAATTTTATTCCAGACACGCTCTTTATCGCTTTTCCTTCCTTCGAGGGTGTCCGTGGCATCTGCCATTAGTGACTGCAGCTGTGACACCAAGATAAAAATTATCGGAAGGGAATTCACACAGAAATAACTTCTCTAAATACGCAGATTAAAACCTAATTAAAAAACCATTTGTACACTGATGATTTTATTGCTCGGCTTGCACACAATGCATAGCACCACCACCTTTTCTGAGGTGGGGGGGGCCTCATCCGCATTTGCCTCATTTTATTCTGGAATGCATAATGTCCAGCAATAAAGGAAATGCACATTGGAAAATGTGTACTATTAGAATATAGCCTTTAGGGTTTACAACAGGCAGGTTCTTAATTAGTATGTTTTATAAAAATGTAGAATAGTCATGCAGAATATGAATGAGGACAAATTAAATGCATGGTTAACTCCTACTACTTTTGATACGAGCATTGACGGCAGGCTTACCTTTCTACTGCTGCAATATTTTCTTTTGCCCAAGTGGATGATGAAACAAAGGGACATCACCGGTTGGACTCTATCCATAATTGTCCATTATTTATTAAATAACTAAGTAAACAGAGCTACACATTTCAACCCCATGGGCGCATTTTACATGCTTCACAAAAACCGTCAAATAGATAAAAACAAGCACCACAGATTTGCCCAACAGCAGCTTTTCCCAGACAGGAGATGTCTTGGGACAAGGAGCATGATAATGCTTGCTGGGGATGATGGGATTCTTTCTTTAACACATCTGGAGGTTGCCAGCTAGGGGAAGGCTGAGCTAGAGGGTCTTCTTCATACAGAAGCAGCATCCATTCTGCTTGGAAGTAATAATGAACACACTCATCTAGGGGTGAGACAGAACTTAGAAAGATTCCCCTTTTTTGGATGTGAACCCCCATTATCCCCCTGCCACTGGCTGAGCACCTCCGGGAGTTGTCGTCCAAAAAGAGTGCAAGTTTCCAAGCGCTGCTTTGAATAATCACAGTGGATTTCATGTGGACGCTCATGGTTTTAAATTTGGGGAAGAATGTAAGGGAATTGGTTAAATGCTACCTGTCCCCCTGCCTCCACCCCCACCGCGGCAGTCTCTAATTGGTCTCTCCAGTTCTAGCTTCATGTCAACTTTAGAAAATCAGAACTGCAGGGGATACTGATCATGGATTTACTGCTGCATCACGGCTTGTTATGCCTAAAGAAAGATGAGCTTCTTCATCGGTGAATATTCACAACGGGCTTCTGACACTGCTGAGTTTGATAAAGAAAGATTGGAAGCACTGCAAAAAGCAAACAAACCCCCCAGACACACCTCCAGAGACTTGCTTGGTTTCCACCCTCCAGAAGGTCACTGCATTCTCCAGAATGGGAAGTTTGCAGTTGGAAGAGCTGATTTTTAAGCAATGTTTTCACAGCAAGTGATTAAGCTATGATGTATGAATTGGGCTGCCACCCTTCCCAGAGGGAGAAAAACACCAGCCACTTCTTATTTGCATCGAACAGTTAACTTCTGTGCATATACGTTTAAAATGGTTTATTGGGTCAGAGTGCAACTACGTGGCCAAATATCGCGGGATTTGCTCTGGTTATAAAATGAGCAAATCTGAAGTATTTTTTTTTTACTGACTGTGTGATGCAAAGGCTGATTCAGATTGGTCCAGCCCTTTTTTTAACACCAGCCACTTCTTATTTGCATCGAACAGTTAACTTCTGTGCATATACGTTTAAAATGGTTTATTGGGTCAGAGTGCAACTACGTGGCCAAATATCGCGGGATTTGCTCTGGTTATAAAATGAGCAAATCTGAAGTATTTTTTTTTTACTGACTGTGTGATGCAAAGGCTGATTCAGATTGGTCCAGCCCTTTTTTTAAAAAACTCTGGGCTGATTCAAATTGGCCCAGCCCTTTTTTTTTAAAACTCTGCTGCTGGGAGGCTTCCACTTTTTCAGGCTGGGACGATTCAAACAGACCTTTTTCTGTGTCGTTAGTTGTGATACAGTCTTGTAAAGATGAGGCATGTGTCTGTAGGTGGTGTTTTGGTGCTGTAGGCAGTTGGGGCAAGATGTTCAGACCCAGGGGGACAAAGCACTGTGACATTAGTGTGGGGGATAGGGTGCTAGTTCTGAGTCCCGTCAAACATAGTGAGTCTTAGATCACAAACATAGTGAGCTTCCTAGTTCTGAGTCCCGTCAAACATAGTGAGCTTCAGATCACGTGAAGAGGCCGTTTGGTTGTGGAGCAAAAGCCTAGTGCTCTTAATTGCTTAATTGACTGGTCTGAAAATAGACTAGTTTATCATGCCATAGTTAAAAATCATATGTGATCAGAGATGAAGTAATTCCTGCATGTGTTACTTGAAAGTAAGGAAAAAGATTAATGGATGGGAAGGGGAAGGTGATGATGATCCCTGTTATGGAATCATTCTGATGTGTAACTTATGATGTATTTGGCAAAATTACTTTTCAAACTTTTGATGTTCTGTACTCTTAGACTGTTAAGTACCTCCCCATGTTATTTTTCTATGGAAAAGTTTTTGAGAAACAAAGTTGTGTCAAGCTTTTAAGAAAGTGGCTTCATAGTGAGCCATAAAAGGATCAGCAGAGGCAGGACCAGAGGAAGGAAGGAAAGAAGGGGGGGAGCTCTGTGAACTGGAATGCAACTTGAACCACATTCAGTATGAATAGTGAACTCTTAAATCATTTTGATGCCCATGTGTGAACACTGATTGTGAATTCAAATATAATACAGGCCGTGAATCAAATTGCAGCAAAGCTGAATCAAAGTCTAGAGTGACACACAGGCCATGTTTCTCTTTGAATGATGGATTGCACTACCAGTTTCTCAGCATCTGATTTCATATCTTAATGGCACTCTAAGCTCTGATAAGCAGAACAAGCATTTCAAAAGCGGAGCTCCTGATTCTAACATGAGTTCCTTGCAAAGTCTCAGCTCCTTTGTGGTAAGTGAATATGATACTTAAGATGAACTGTAGATTAAGTAGGAGTTGTGACTTAGTCCTATAGTTCTCTTTATCGTTCAACGTGGTTGTACTGTATACTTTCTTTCTACATGTCACTGCTGCTCTGTGGTCACATTTTAATTAATGAAAGGCAGAATTTTCTATATTTATGATGCAGTCAAGAGCCACATACAGTGCATAGCGCTAGGACAGTGGTTGAAGGAGGAGAGATTGGAAAGACCATATGGGCTTTATCCTTTTGTGTTTATAGCACAAACATATTCTACACCCCACTGCAATTGTGGGGAAAGGGGAAGATGCTGCTGCTCTTGCCTCAGGACTGCTAAATTCATGCACAGCTATTCAGGAATACGGGTTTTAAAATAAAGAAGTGTGTGTGATTGTTCACACCTGCACATGAAGCATTGGGCAGGAGGATAGAAGGGTGACCAACCATCTTGATTGTCAAAAAAGAGGACAGTATGCCTCTTTCCCCACCTCATGTCAAAGGGAAAGCTGGGGGGGGGGAAATGTTGCAAAAGAAGGTGTCAGCTGTGAACCATTCCGATCCTTAAAAGTTACAATAACCTTAGGTTAGGGGTGCTTCTCTACTACCCAATTATTGTGGACCGATACCACTTTAAAGGCGAATGGCACCAACCCACGGCATCTTGGAATGTGCAGTTTGTTGAAGAGCTCTAGTAAAAATGTCATATTGCAGGAGAAATAGATTCAGGATGATTTGGGGAAATGCATAGCATGAATGAACCAGATGTTGGGAGTCCTGAGATAAAAAGACTAGTAGGGTAGATTGAAGAATCTGTAAGATTCATGCACAGGGAAGAGTACACTGAGCAAACATTCCTTCCCTCCTATGTATTAGCTCCAATAATAAAAGCCCCTTGATTGACTTTTATTTCTAGTGGGGTGGTACCTTATTTTTGTCACTCTCCGTATTGTGGCATTTATACAATGGAAGGCAGCCAATTCTTCTAACGTACCTGGTCTCAGAATACGTTTTGGTTGAAGACCTCCCTCCCCTGTAGAATCTTGAGGGCAGTCACTTGAAATGTAATCATGCCCCTTGACTTTTTACATTTGTTAGAGATGACTGCGTGCAATGCACTGAAAAGATGTGCATGTATCTGCATGGGAAGGAGTACATAAAGAAAGGGAGAGCCTCAGGTTTCCTACACTCTTCTTTATCTGCTCGGATTTAGGCTGACCTTCCTTCCCTCCCCTGTAGAATCTTGAGGGCAGTCACTTGAAATGTAATCATGCCCCTTGACTTTTTACATTTGTTAGAGATGACTGCGTGCAATGCACTGAAAAGATGTGCATGTATCTGCATGGGAAGGAGTACATAAAGAAAGGGAGAGCCTCAGGTTTCCTACACTCTTCTTTATCTGCTCGGATTTAGGCTGACCTTCCTTCATGACTTCTTTGACTTTTTACATTTGTTAGAGATGACTGGGTGCAATGCACTGAAAATATGTGCATGTATCTGCATGGGAAGGAGTAAATAAAGAAAGGGGGAGCCTCAGGTTTCCTACACTCTCCTTTATCTGCTCAGATTTAGGCTGACCTTCCTTCATGACAACCTAGAGTGATGTCCTTAGGGTTGCTGATGTCACTCCTTTCCCTTTCCACATTTTCTTCTTGGTCCCTTCTAAGAAAGGACATAGGACACATCTTACCACACCATCATAGCCAACTAAAACTATGATTCCTATTATCTTTCCTATCTCAATGTATTTCTCTGATCTTAGAACCGAAGAGCTGGAACGGACCAGCCTCTGTCAAAGTGTGGAATTGAACTCCCAGCCAGATAACTAAATCACTCAACTATCCTGCATTTTTTCTTACTTTCTTGGAATTAGAAGATGTGATTTCTATCCAGAGGGGAAAATGTGCTCTGCTAACCTTTCCATATTCAGGAGCTGAATCCACAAGTTAACTTAAGTGTGTCTTGCTCCGCTCACAACATGCATCTTCTAGTCTAAGCGCTTGCTCCGCCAAAATGCTGTGTCCATGTTTTGAAAGCCAATATGTTTTTTGAATGCCAAAAGAAAATCAAAATGTTCTGCTTTTCTTCCCTCGTTGTCTACCAAAGCCAGAACAAGAACTAAAAGACAGACTGGAATACTTACCAGTTCAGCATCCTGCTGGCTGATATCTTGGAGGTAGGGAAGGGTAGCAAGCTCAGCCATGCCTTGATTGATGACTTGGGTCTGCTCCTTGACACGATGCACTCGGCCAAGGAGGCTGGCATGCTGCAGTTTCTCTATTATGCCAGAACATGCACAGAAACTCTCCTGAGTTTGAAAGAAAAACCAAATGGATTAGAGGACAGACACGAGATAGGCTTGAGAGTTTACATTCCACTCTATCATGTAACAGATTGGACAAATTGGCCTTTCTCGTCTCACAATTGGGCCTCATTTGCTCATCTGGACAAACTACTGTTGAGTGCCATGTGAATAAATCTTGGCAAGCCTTGTACTCTGGTGCTTTTCCTTTGCTTCCCTCCTCTCACTTTCACTCATAACTTCTATTAATCACAGTTTAGCCTATTATCAACCAAAATCTAAACTATGGTTAATGGCAACTATACCTTGTTTAAATAAGTGATATTAGTCAGACATGGTTTCATGACTCGTCTGAAAGAAATTATAGTAGACATTAACCTGATATTGACAATCTATGGTTATGGGCAAAGGGATGTTAGAGCTTTTGAATTTGCTTTTCACATCCATGCTGCTTTCTTCAGTGAATTCATATTACACTAGAAATATTTTCAATTGCATCTATTGTCTTGAATCTCTATAATCCTTTTACTGTAGATGACATCCTTTACCCAAATCTTTTAAACGATTGTCATCTGCAAATGCAACACTCATAGCAAGAAGAATGTAAGTTCATTGCTGTTGACAGTTTCTTAGAATCCTCTTTCTATAGCAGAGATGGAAAAAAACCCTTCTTGAACAATTTCACTGATATTATTAGGATTGAGGGGGGTAAAATTTCCTGTAATACATAGCTCTCTTCGTTATCTTTGTGAACCTGCTGAATTACTTCAGTCTGAATTAAGCAAAACCTCAAGAAACTAGTAGGTGACAGGATTTGAACTTAATCACATAGACACCTTGAACTTAAATTTGTACTGATCAGCTTGGATGCAGTCAGTGAAACAGCCGCTTGTTCCTGTCAGGGTATTGCTTTTCTGTCCATCTAACCACTTGGGACTCTTGCTCTTTCATTCAACTTTCAAGGGAATAAATTAAACAAAGGTAAAGTAAGTTGAAAGAGAGCTAAGACTCCCGGCAGATGCAAAGTTCTTGATTCATCTTCTTTATGTCAGAATAAATTATCAGGTAAGCAGCAATATCTCCAATGAACAGGATTTGGAAAAGTTACTTTTTGGATGATGACTCCCAGAATCCTTCAGCTAGCATCCCTCTGTGGTCATGCTGGCTGGTGGATTTTGAGAGCTCTGATATAAAGTACTGTACCTTACCTTTTCTAAACTTTAGATTTATTCTCCACTGATGTATCTCACTCTTCTTAAAGTATGTACAGTGGGTAGGGGGAGCTGGGGCTTCACGATGATGTTGGACTCCATATCCCATCAGCTCCAGCCAGGTAAGTCACAGGATGATGGAAGCTGCAGTTGATTAAGATCTGAAGGGCCACAGTTCCCCTAGCTTTGACCAACTGTTCTCCACATTGCAGAACATTGGAATAAACCAAAGGCCAAACTACTAGGCAGCAGGGCTAGTAATAAATTTGTTATCTCTTTATAAATATTCATATACATTACTTTTAAGATCTGAAGGGCCACAGTTCCCCTAGGTTTGACCAACTGTTCTCCACATTGCAGAACACTGGAATAAACCAAAGGCCAAACTACTAGGCAGCAGGGCTAGTAATTTGTTATCTCTTTATAAATGTTCATATACATTACCTCCCTAGGGTACCCAAATGGGATGTTTCCCGTGTTGATCCTGGTTCTTTGTTGGTGGTAACAGTCTGGATTGTACCACATTAGAGTGTAGATGGGCCGCTAATATTTTTGAATGCTCTCCCCCGATATTCCTTCTAGGCTGAGTGGGTCCCTGCCCAGCACTGGTGGATAATTAGAGAGAACATCGCTCTCTCCTATTTTACATAAACACACAAAGCTCCTCACATATAGGAAACGCAAACAACCTCTTTCTTTTTGCTATGCCCATTTAATAAGGGTGGGGAGCTTCAGTGCTAACAAAACCCAGCTGGGTAAGTCGGTCAAGCTAGGGAACAATAGACATGGCAATATTTGAGAAACCGACAGTGGCCCAGAAACCTAGGGATGAAATAACTTTCAGCCTAATTCCCATCTTTAATGAGAAGGGGGAGAAAGCAGGAATTATAGCAGGTTGGACCCTGTCAGGAGTTGTGTTTCGGTGGCAACAAAAAATGCAGAAAGAAAGTGTAAATAACCGTTTCTGGCAGCAATAAGAGCCCACAGGGATATGGAGCGCATGATGAGAATTACCTGAGCTACAGTGGAGTTCAAGAGGCGACTAAGCTGCAGTAAAGAAAATAATAAAGTGGCCATGGATGAAGCTGAAACCACCTCATCCTGGTACAGTGAAGGTTAAGTAAATAGCAAGCTTAAATGAAGGCTTTAGGCCGACAGAATGGGATGATTTAGCACAGGAAATAGCTGGATGCCTGACAAATGGGAACAAGGGCATAAGAAACAAACTCGGCATAAGGTTTCTGAAAATGGCCTTTCAATAGGAATGAAATGAGCTAAGGAAAGATTTGTTGGCTCTCTCTCTCTCTCTCTCTCTCTCGTGTGTGTGTGTGTGTGTGTGTGTGTCTGTGTCTGTGTCTGTGTCTGTGTCTCTGTGTGTGTGTGTAAGGAACGGCAAAAATATTAACCACAGCAAAAGTGGGCAGTGCTTTGTGTAAGACAGAAAAGAGAAAAGTGAAACAAGCCAACTTTGACCCACAGTGAACAGGCCAGTAATGACATGAATGACTGACTCTTGTAGGAGCCAGCCAACATGCATCTCTTCAGCATTTTGCATTGCTTGGAAGAAGGGTAGATAAAATGAAAAGAAAAGTGCTCCCTACTCCATTACACCATGAGGTCTACTATGATCTCATGCACTGAACAGAACTTGGAAACGTTACCGTTTTAGACTAAAATTCTCAAAATTTCCAACCCAAGATGACCACTGAGAACTGCAGTCTAAAAAAGTATATTTCTTTCCCCACGCTCTGGATTTGCCACAGTACTTTCATCTGCTCACCAAGGACTCGGAGACTTAAGCTGAAGAAAGTCTTTGAAATGATGATGAAATCAGTCAGCAAAAATCTTTCTTTGCAAAATTTGCCAGAAGTCCACCATAACAAATGAAACTGAAGTTAAGTGTGGCATCTGGTTGAAAGGGAAAAAGAATGTCCTAAACTAACTTCCTCTGCTGCTACAGAGAAACATAGACGAAGAGTTCAACCTATATTCTTCTCAGAAGGCAAGTACAGTGGTGCCTTGACTTATGAACGCCTTGACCTATGAACATTTTGACTTATGAACAGCTCCGTTTGCAAAATTTTGCTTTGACTTGCGAATGGAGCTTTGACTTACGAACGGAAAAAAGGCAGGGAAAAGGGGTGGGAAATTCAAATATACTAACCGTTGGTGGCGAAGAGGCTACTTCTTTGTACCTCTTTCGCCCCAACGGTTCGGGAAAGGGATGTTGGGGGGGGGGTCCGGCCGGGAGGCAAGGATCCCAACCGGGCTCTGGCTTCCAGTGCTGGATCCATCCCTGCTGCTCGCTTTCTGGCTGGACTCCAGGAGGCAGAGCCCGGCTGGGAAGCGAGCAGCAGGGACAGAGTCAGTGCCGGGAGGCAGGAGTCCGGGAAATTCAAATGGCCTTCCAGCTGGGCTCTGCCTTCTTGCGCTGGCTCCGTCCCTACTGCTTGATTCTGGGCTGGGCTCCGGCTGGGAAGTGAGCAGCGCTGTTGCCCGGAGGGAAGGCTGGGGCTCCGGAAGAGCAGGAGGCAGTGGGTGGTGGAAGCTTCCTGGCAGCAGCAGTGGAAGCCCAGGAGGCTTCGGACTGGTAAGGTGCTGCTTTTTCCTTTTTTAAAAAACTGTTCTTGGTACAATAACTTGTGTGAGTATATACAGACAATAAGCTTCGGGTTTTTTGTTGTTGTTTTTTTTTTTTTTTTTTTTGCAGTCCCAGTGCGGGACTTGCTCTTTTTATTTTATTTGGTTTTTTTTTAAATGCTGGAATGGATTAATCCCGTTCCCATGCATTTGAATGGGAAATGGTGCTTTGACTTACAAACGTTTTGATTTCTGAACGCCATTCCGTTACAGATTAAGTTTGTAAGTCAAGGCACCACTGTACTAGGATAGAAAAGAAGCTTTATTACAGACTTGTTCCCCAGTTGGAAACATCCATCTCCTCTGTCTCTTCCTCACCCTTGCATTTTACGGGAGAACTTGGAAGAATATATTTCGGGTTTTGTGAATGCTAACTATCTGCTTCTTTCTTTGCTTTCAAACCTCTCAGAAAGATTTGGGGAGACTTCAGAGCAATTTGGAGGGAGATCACTTTGCCTCAAACACCTCTCAAGCTTCAGGGATCGGGAGTTTTCTGAACCCAGTGCACATTTCTGTCTGATTATAACCAGAAACTGCTAAACCAGTAGGTTAGATTCAGGTTCAAGTAGACCCACTGATATCATTAGGACTATAAGTGGCGCCCCCATCCCCCCCCCCCCAGAAGAAGGGAATGGTAAACCACGTCTGAATATTCACAATCTGAGAAACCCAGAAAAAGGTTGCAATAAGTCAGAACTTACTTGACAGCACATGGTTATTATTATTTGAGATATGAGTAAGTCTGGAATCAATCTGAAGGTGTTGGTGAATGTCTTTTATTTATCTGATGGAAATATTCATATTCAGTCTTTTAGTTTCATACTTTGGTAGCAGTAAGCAAAAGATGGAACTAAAATGTTCCTTAAGATGAGAAAAGCTAATATTTTGGCTTGTAATTCCAAGAATAATACCTTAGAGTGCTTCCAAGCTTCAGTAACTTCCAGGGAGGTTTTAGCTTACCCAGGCAGACTTACCAGGGCTGGGTGCACCGCAGGGTTCTTGACACTACTCATACTCAATGAAGGGCAAGAGATGAAAAAAGACATTCCGTGTGTACATCTATATTTGAAGGACTGATTGGATCATGCCCTTAATTTGCTCCTGTTTTTGGCTATAGACTTCCCCCTGCCCCACTTTGCATCTACATCCTCCATG